TGGAAAAACGTCCATGCGCCGCTTTTATCATCAGCAATCGATCCTAACTATTTCTAATCCATATTTAGTTGAAATCTATTGCTAGGTATGTGACAAACTAGCATTTGTAAGCGCAATTAACAAACATCAAATAGCTTCGTACACGAAATTAACAAGCGCATTAGCAGCCTTCACATATCTTCGAAATATTCTTTTTTGTTATTATTAGAAAATATGCAGTTTTCCTGATGATGTAGGTATTCCTTCACCCCTGAGCACGTGATAAGTCTGCATTTAAAATTAGCAATATCATTGGTGCCGGCAACGGGGATTGAACTCGGCTTATTCGAGTATATTGAATATTGAACTTAACTTATTCGAGTATAGTGAATTAAAAGCAAGCACTCGGACAATGAAGTACCACAGGACTATAAGCTATCACGGATTTAAACATATAAATAATTATCGTAAAATAATCATGAAAAAAAAGACAAATAAATATTTTGGATAATGTGCTGCATTTGGACAATCTAGTGCAAAAGCAGTTTTAAAAAATACATTTTTATAAATAATTAATATAATTTAATTTGAGCATTTTTATTTCTTACCAACTCTGTAATCCATTGGCGGGAAAATCGGTGTCGCTCAACTAAAAATTTGACACCGGGCTCGAGTGCGAGACCAATTGCAATACAAGCAAGGTTTTAACTTTCACCGCACAACTACCTTAATATACCTACGGGTACTTAATTCGTTATCACACTGTTTCCGTTAATTTTTAAAAAAAGGATAATAAAACGAATAAAATGTTTTATTCCCGCCCGGTAATTGGCGATAAAAACCATATAGCAGTTAACTGTTCAGGTATAGCGTAACTGTGCTGAGTATTTACTTTTTTATGGAGCCGTGCGATCTTCCGTTAAGATATGCATGCATTAATTGCCTATTTGTGAGTTGCTGTGCTCCGCAGTACCATCAGCATTTACTTCTATTGAAAATGAGAATTCATTGACACCACTAACTTTTAGCTCTTTATTTTAACACTGCGGATGACTTGTAACACACTATTTTGGTTCGTTTTCCTTTTTACTTCTTTATAATTAATATCTTAACATTTAAACTATTGCATACATTGGCATTAATTCAAAACTATTATTATATCATTGTAATCTATTATATATGAAAAGTTTAGATCTGTTTGATACAGGATAATCTTAAGCTAGATTTTTTTATGTGAAAAGTTGCCAAGCGAGGAAACAGTTCACTGACTCTTGATTTAATTTTTTTATACTTTCTTTTTGCCCACGGCTCTGCCCACATGTACTACATTTTATATCGTGCTTAAAAATTAGCCTATATAGCCTTTCTCAATAAAGGGGCTATCTATTAGTATTAGTGCAAGACGGAAGGTCTACGCTGGTAGGGCCACGCAGCAGCCCCGGCTGTTGTACGAATGGGCAGGCTCGTCCGGGTAAGTACCACGACCTCACAGAAGACCAGCGTAAGGTGGAAGTATAATACTTTCGCGTTTCTTCTGGTAAGTGAGGTAGCCGGAGCCCAATTTTCAAAAGGTTGTCAACGCATCTGTAACCCTCGGGTTGTAGCAGATGTCCATGGGCGGTGGTATTCACTTAACATCAGGTGAACCGTCTGCTAGTTTGGCAGACAGTTTTTCAATTTATCGGATCAGTAGTTTTATAATACTAGTATGGATATCCTCTAATTTTTTGCCGTCTCATAAACAACTAAAATACTTTCTGGTGCGGTTCAGGTCGATATCTGCCCGCCGCTTTCCCTGGTTCTTGGCTCATATCCTGTTTAGCATATCCAGGTTCGAATCGAACCTAAGGAAGTTGGGTTCAAGGTCATTCTAACAGGACAAAAAATTGTATACATCATGTTTTCGCAAAGTTATAATCATTTTAATCTAACCAATTCTGGCGAGACGAGAAAGATCCGCAACGCACTGGCCGCATTTCGACCCGCCGCCACAACAGATGATGTTTTATGATTTTATGTGCCGCAACCAATATGACAGATAATATAGTTCTGAGTTCAACGTACATTGGAAGTATCAAAACTGTTAATTTTTAGGGTTCCGTATGTAAAGAGTAAAACGGGACCCTTTTACTAAGATTCCGCTGTCTGCCTGGCCGTCTGTCACCAGTCTTTATGTACCAGGCGTGTGTTCAATCCGCAGTGGGGTCGAGTTGTGGACTACGCCACAAAACAAAAAGGATAATTATTTCTTGCTAAGTGACCGCGTATTCTGCGAATAAGGCGAACTGTCAGACAATACTCGTATAATATTTTACAGGACAAATATTTGCAAACACAACAAACTGGTATGTTTACCAAATACTAGTCTCACGCACTCCGTTTTCCTTGATCTTTACCGGGAATTGTCGTTATCTAGTGTTTGGTGGGGACCTTAGTGACTTGTTCATTAAGGACAATTTATTATTAAATATAGATAAAAAGATTATGTAAATAAAAATATTTACGTTGAAAATACTGAACTCGTTTTATTGATGACGTGTCGTTATCTGTGAAACTTTCTTCATCCTTCAATCCATTTTTGCGTTCGCTGTTTTTCAACAACACCCCACATACCTAGACGGGTCATAAGTTCCGTCACAAACACCTCATTAAAATTAATCTATAACTTTGTTGTTTAATAAATTTGACCATCAACCTACGGGGCCAGCCATTGACCGCAATTATTTATTTATGTTTATACTTTTATCAAGGGTTCTTTGCGACTCCCAATTCTGATGAGGTTTAGCCAAGAATTTCTCCTCCAAATCCTTACTAATATTATAAAGGCGAAAGTTTGTATGTATGAGTGGATGTTTGTTACTCTTTCACCCAAATACTACTGAATGGATTTTATTGAAACTTTACAATAATATAGCTTATACAACAGAATAACACATAGGCTATAATTTATATACATATTTTTATGTATTCTGTCTTTCTGCCTGAATGTTACGCCTTCAGATTCTACGCAGACGCAGTCGTGGGCAGCAGCTAGTATTGCTATATTTTTAATCCAACGGGATTAAATCTGAGCAGCAAGAGGAACACAAGTCGTGTCAGTTTTAGTAGTTTTCATGATAAGCTAGTTATTACGTGCTTGCTGCCCGATGAGCTGGCGCTGATTCTAGTTGGGATACCCAGAGTATTTTCGAGGATTTGTTGAGAATGAGGTTCCAACTACGGTGGGATCAAGCAACAGTCTTCTCTGTTGCATGAATGATCAGGGCCATCCGGGGAGCGCCGCTACACACACACGCCACACACGCTTGGTCTGTTGCGTACGTACTGTAAGTAGAACCTTTATAAAACGTGTAGGAATGACATAACGTAATGACAAACGTTTAGAGATAATTATTGAGACCAAACAGATACAAACATGTGAAAATTAGACAAAGTGATGCTGCGTCGTGTATCTTTGTTTTCTACGGAAGTTTTTATTTAAATTGCATATGAGTATACAATAAAGCAGATAAAGCTAATAAGTTATGAACAATGGTTTCAAATATTCAATATAAAATATTATGGTTTCAATATACAATCTACAGAAATAGATTTGGTTAGTTAATAGTAATAGTCTAATGCCCAGTTTCCGAAAGGCCAATCAAAGCAGCAATCACATAACACTATGTCAAAAATGATCAGCTGTTAATCTCTTGTTAAACTGCCTTGGGTTTCTGGAAGGTTAGTTCAAGAAAAATTTGATAATCACTGTATAACATTGGATAATGAATGAAATGAATGATTAACTTGAACTAAGTCTTTCTATTGTATAGCTGTCCCTTTTTAAACAAAACTTAAAATAACGTCACTATCCAGTCCTGTCACCTTGTGATTGCCAACGTAAAAATCCGAGCTATAATAAAATTTTATTTATATAAATACATGCAAAATGTCAAGAAAAAACTTTACAGAACGTGAAAAAATCCATATTATTTATTAACTTTTGAATTGCATTTTCAATTTTTTCTAATCACATGATATGTTCGCATAATAATAAATAGGTAATGGAACACATGAATTTCCTTACAACGTATTAGGGAATTATGTTTATTCCTAATAAAAACTAAAATTTTTGATAAAATACTTTTTTAACCAACGATTGATCGTCCAAATTGACAGATTACTTAATAAAATTTTTGACAGCTCGTTGACCACCGAAAAACGCTTTCAGAAACTCGATTTTCTGTTGATTGTCCGTTAATCAGTGACTAATTGCAAATAAAAATCAATGTTGTTTTCAGACCTTCTAGCAACTCAGATCATGTTAAACAACGTTTGACAAGAGATTTATCGTAACTTAAAATTGATTGCGCTTTCGGAAACTGGGTGTAACGCTCGGTCTCCGAAACACTGATCATCATAGATGTCAACTAATCAGCTGTCATCAAATACCTATCGCTTGTAACCAAATAGTATATAAAGTAGATAGTATTTTGAAACCGGTCGTTAATGTAATAAATATTTCCGGACCTTATAAAAAAATATTTATATTATATATAAAATTTATTATAATATATATAAATATAGATATGAGATTTATTTATTTTTAATTAGGAAAGACCTTAAAAAGAAAACCGACTTCAAATATCTCGCTCTCTATTCATTTTATAATTGATTTTCACGTTTCAGTTCAGAAAGAAAAACATCATCACTTAAATAGGCTGTAGAGTAACTTAAGCACATGCATGCATGCATTAAACACCTTTTTAATATCGCAGTTCTATGTGTGTGCAAACGTCTAAGCAAACCGCTTTAGGTCATTTAATGTTCGTTGAAGTCGTCCTTTGTTTACATTGCAGTCAATCACGTCAGTGGGGATTTACTCAGCTAACAGAAGACGGCTGGGTGTCCGACGTGTGTGGTACTTTGGTTTTGTAAGCATATAAATATGCGCGGCTGAGGCGTCAAGATTCATTGTCACAGATCCGACCGACTGACAGAGTCTATATATCATAACACATAATTTAAACGGATTCCTCAATATGATTTTCGAGATTCGCCAATTCGGTGAGTAGATTGCATCTTTAAAGTCCCTGTGGCTATATACAGCTATATTTAAAATCGATTTATTGTTTTTGCCTATGTTGTTTTTACTATTTTGTTTTGCCGTCGTCAATAGTTTTTGGTATTTTTGTAGAGGTTTTACTAAAACTAATGTCGGTCGCTTAACATTTTAGTTTTAAATTTTAAATATTATTTGGATTTTCTTAATTCTGCTAGTATTGTATTATAGTTTTTAAATAGTAAACAACTTTGTCTAATCATAAGAGGTTCATAATTTTTTTAATGATTTTTTTTCATAACTTAACTTATGATATTATTAAAGTTTTTGTTTAACTTTTCATGTTCATTGGGTATAAATTGTAACTAATCAAAATAAGTCAAGTTTTTTCACTAATCAGCGGTTTTATGTCATCTTTCACAAATATTAAACATCAATAAAAACGTTACTAAAGTTTTATATCTGATATTATTTTTCGTTAAAATAGAACAACTCTTTTTAAAATTTAAAGGTCTTTTAAAAGGCGATCTTCGTCCATAACATAATAACGTGAATATATAAATTATTATAATATTTTTTTGTTTTCTCGTACCTATGATGTATTAATTTACATACTTGTGTACCGATATGAATTAATTTTATAACTTAAATAAATTCTTTGTGTATATATTATGATAATTATTGAAAGTCAATACTTTCAATTAATACAATAATTACAACAACTTTATCGCTCAAAACTTTGCATAAAAAAGAATTAAATGGTCATCGCTTTATTGCAACTCAGATAAAGCATAAGGATAAAGATTATGATAATCATAAAAAAGTGGAGAATCAATCACTCTTTAACAACGATAAAAAGGCATTTGCAATCGGCCGTTACGAATTGTAACGGTGGTTACTTTAGGGTATCTCGCAAATTTTTGGCCGAACACGAAATAATCGCCTAAAGGAAGCAACGTTATTATTTATAAATTTAGATAAATATGATAACCAACTAGAAAAACGGGGGAGCTTCTCAATTCGACTGTAGTATTTTTGCATGTTTGTTACCTCAAAAATTTCGACTGAATGTACCGATTTTTATGATTTCTTTTTTGATTTTGTTTGAAAGCCGGTGCTTCCCATGTAGTCCGATATTATCAATTATAAAATGAATACAGAGCGAGATATTTGAAGTCGGCTGTGTTTTATTTTGTTAATAATGATTTCAAACTGTCAGGCTTAGGTTCGTTAGGTATAATTCTCTAGATATTAATATTATCTTACCGACCATCCCTTATGTTCGGTAGCGTGGTGTTTTATTCGCTCCGTGTCCACAGCCGCCGTCCTCTTGGTGGGTTCCTGCGTCGGGCTGAGCGCCGGCCTGCCGGCGTGCGTGTGCACGCGCGAGGGGAAGCCCGTCTGCGGCTCCGACGGCCAGACGTACAGCAACGAGTGCATGCTCAACTGCGCGAGGTCGACGAACCCGAGCGTCACGCTGCACTCTGTCGGCAGGTGCAAACGCGAGGCGCCCTGCTTCTGCACTTTCGAGAGCAGACCGCTCTGCGCCAGCGACGGGCAGACGTACGCGAACGAGTGCGAGCTCCGCTGCAGGCAGGCCGAGGTGCCCAGTTTACGCGTCAGCCACGAGGGTGAGTGCCGCGCGAAGAGGCAGGCGGCCGAGTTGGCCCAGCACTGCACCTGCCCCAGATCCGCTAAGCCGGTCTGCGGCAGCGACGGCAACACGTACACGAACCCGTGCCTATTGAACTGCGCGTCCGAGGCGGAGCCGAGCCTGTTCCTGCAGCACCCGGGACCCTGCAGCAATGACGTCAGCGTGGTCGAACAGCCGCAGGAGACCCCTTCCTGCACCTGCGCACGGGACTACAAGCCCGTTTGCGCGACGAACGGCGTCACGTTCGACAACATGTGTTTGATGCGATGCGCCGGCGAGCATTTGTCTGTGCAGAGCTTCGGACCTTGCGAGCCCTCGGCGTAGACGTCATTCCACTTTGAGCGGGGTGCAGTTTCTTACGGAGTCAACGAAATATTGTCAGCTAATAGTGACTTTTTTGAGTCCACGAAATATTGTTAATAGGGACTTCTATTCTATCATTTAGTAAATAATTGTGTTTCTGATTAAGCTGATGTGTCTTGAAGTGATTTTTAAAGGTATGACAAAAAACATACAGTTGTAAATGGATTGTATTCGACAATAAAATCTGCATAATTAAAACGTAGGCTATCAATGTGACTCGCTTTAAATATTTTATTAAAAAAAATTACGTATACTCTTTATGCTTTATTCTTTTCTATTTTTCCCTCATATGTACATCCAAAACTGTTCCAAAATCTGTTAAAAAATCCAAACTTAAAATTAAACTGTTTCTCACGAAACAGTTGAAAGTTCCAACAAAATTTCTCTTCTAATACACTCGTAAAAAAAGAGAGGTTAAGATCTGTAGAAAAAAAATTTGTTAAAACCTTATTAAGATCAATTCTGAGTGCAGATGTCAAAATCTAATAATTATTTTAAAAATTATTCTAAAATTATAAAGTAGTAAAGTTTATCTAAGTCGTGGTAATTCAGTGTCGGGGCGCACGATTTTTATTCAGTATTTTAATTAATAACGTAATTTTAACTTGTAGAAAAAGTATGAAAAGACTGTCGGCGCTGTGGGAATCGAACCCACGTCTTCGGCATTCGCGGCCTGACAATCTAGCCACTAAACTAAACGACTGATTGTCACACCGACGAAAATCTTAACGTCTTTTATCTACATTGTTATTTTTAGCATTTGAAGCAATGCTTGGCGCATCTATTGTTATATCCTTTCCAGCATACAAACAATTTCGAATATTGATTTTTACAACGATAACTTCGAACGAGAGATGTCGCCATTGCTTTTTAGAAATTTAAAGTTTTATTATAGTGCTAGTCTCTGTACTTAAGAATAAACATTGAAGCTTGTAGATTTTTTTTGAATGAATGAATTCCCACAGCGGCGAATCTTTTCGTACTTTTTCTACAAGTTTTAATGTTTAATCTTAAGTGCAGAGATTAGCACGATAAAAAACTTTAGAACTCGTAATTTTTAATTGCAATTTTAAGTACCAAGCCCTCTTCGGTGAAGGCAAACATCATGAGGAGGTAAGATAAAAGTGAGGATATTATAAAAAAAATATTTCAAATGTTCACATCCGAAAAAATAATTTCGTGGTGTTTTTTTTACCGCGCACCACTTCAATAAAACGTGGGATCTCTCTAGTAAGGTCTATAAAATGCGCATCCAAACGATGTACTCTGTTTTTCTTCGATAAGCTCGAAACCCTAAGTTTGCAGGCTCTTTTGTACCTGGTTTTGAAGGGCTAACAGTTTACCCATCTGAAGATTCTGCTAACAGATTCTGCTTACGCACGGGCTTTCTTTGGATTCCCCTCTTCACAGCATTATCACTAATAGAACAGTGCGAGGGTGACCACTTAATTTTCTGTATTCTACATTTGAATTTTCATTACATCGTTTGATGGACAAATAAATGAATCTTGATAATATTCAAACTTTTCAATAGTTCGAATCTGATCTGATTTGGCGCGTGGCCGCACGGATGCAATGCTATAACCGTAACTTCGTCTTTTGCGTCAAAATCATATTTAAAAATAAATGAAATTTGAAATAGTGCACATTTTCATTAAGTGACAGAACTTATGATTCGCATGGGTAGATATATATTATAATATATATTACTATTAAATAATATATAATATAACTTACTAATATAAATTAATACGTGAAGCGAAGACTATGGATCACTATCACGTCCACAGCGGTGAAGGAAAAACACATTTTCGAAAAAAATAAAAAAGTATGTATTTCGAAGATATGTGAACTCCGCCAATCCGCAGTGGCGTCGCGTGGTGGACTATGCCCTGATACTTTGTGCAGAGAAAGCCTTTGCCCAGCAGTGGGGCATTTATTGGCTGTTACTTTACTATTTTAAAAAAAACGATAGAATTTTGATCAATCTTCGACTCGTAGTAATTGTAATTATGTCAAATTAATACATGGTAGGGCTGGGCTACATAAAGAGTTAATGACAAACGCTTATTGAGTCACACAACTTAAGATAATATTAAATGGGTAAACGTGAAGCTGTTTCGAAATAAGATGCAAACGTTAAAATTAATACGCGCCACGCCCTTGAACTGGCGCGACGATATACGATGTATTTATTCCTTATCGTGGGGTTATATCGTTTATTAATTTGTTTACAGAGGCATGTGCAAGTTTAATGCCCTGGCTAAGAATATTTGTAAATATCATCGAGCTTTACGACTTCGGAGAAATAACGTCATTTCAAAAAGTCAAAAATAAGTTTGTCATAAAAAGTCAGTATGAATTCACATACCTAAACTACTGTAGGTAGATTAAATCTGTTGTAGGGCCAGTTCGCAGTTCCACGACCTCATAGAAGACCCGCTTGAAGTGGAAGTGTTATACTTCTGCTTATTGTCTGGTTTGTAAGGTAGCCGGGCCCACTTTATTAAACGGTGGCATCGCATCTGCCACCCTACGGGTGTTGCAAATGTCCATTGGCGGCGGCTATCATTTAACATCAGGTAAACCGCCGGCTCGCTTGGCACCTTATCACAAAAATAAAATATGGCAAGTTCATAGTCGAAAAAACAAAATGGTGATATGTGTCTCCAGAATAACTGTATTTTTAACAAGTTAGGTATGCTATTTTTGCTAGGTCATAATATCTGTGTCATTATGCTGTTGGTGTAACTTATAAATAAATCGCAGAACAAACTTACTAGGAACTACTCAATAAACGAGTCCATGGAGGCATAATCCGCGCAACGCATTAGACATTGGCTTAAACTCACATAACTCCTTGGCGTATTGTTGGGGGAGCAGTCGCAAAGATCCTCTGGGCCAACTTCTACGCTGTCACAGGGACCATCTTTGTACAAGTACAGGGAAGGACTCTCGCTTAGAGCGCACTAGAGCATGCACGGGTTATAGTAGGTTAAGCCGTCGTTTCCGCAGACAGGGTTGGCATTTCTGGGACAGGTGCAAGTCCCCGAGCTATCGGGGTCGCGGATGGTGCTGAACCCGGGCCGGGAAAACTCTTCGCTGGGGAGTTTGGTGGTAGCGAATACGGTCGGGATGGGCTCGCAAGGGCCCTCGCTGGTCAGTGTTAAGTCCTGGTGGTGCAAGCGCGCGCACTCCACGAAGCACATGTTTCGGTACCGTCGGAGCCGCACACCGGATCCAAAGCCCTGGAGCATCGGCAGGTCGATCTGCCGACCGCTACGCCCAAACACAGCGCGGCAAACGGCAGACCTGGAAAAGAGGACAGTTGCCGATTCTATTCTCACTGTTCTGTTTCTTAACAGATAATTTGTTCATATTTTCTTACCTTCCCTCTGATCACAATCTCTCCCTTCATATTTCTCTTTATCGTTTCCGCCTTATGTCCAACTCCTTTCAAGGTCAAGCTGTACGGCTCTGGAACTCGCCACCCATCTCTATCAGAAATTGTCTGACATAAGAGACTTTTATACGTGCCGTCTTTAAATTTTATTTAGATAATCGACAATGTTGAACACCGAGTTGCTTGAATTTCCTCTTCTTGACATAATTCTAAAATATCTAATACTATGTAGGTATGTATATATTTGTGTATGTATATTTGTAGTATATATATATATATATAATATCTATATAAATATTAGTATACGTGTATATTTATGTAATTAATTGTCGGTTGACTGGTAGAGAACACGTAATGGTGTTAAGTCCGCCATTGTACGTTATTGTGCATAAAGTTTTGAAATAAATAAAATAAATATTTTGTATGTAAGGAGATGGCGATTCATCATTAAGTGATAACCGCCGCAAATAGACATTTGCAACGCAACTTTTAATACAATGGGCCTCGGTTACCTCACTCGCGGCCCTGTGCTGTGAGGCCGTGGTACTTCTCTGGTCGGACAACAGCGAAGACTGTTAAGAGGCTAAGACCACCGTTTTTGAGCATAAAATTTTTTCGTACATTCTACTGTTGTACACTATAATTAATAATTTGCTTAAATAACTTACCAAACTTAAACAGCATTTTCAAGATACTATATAGTATTATTTAATACATGTATTATAGTTAAATGATTTTGTGAAAACCGCTTGGAGTCGTCAGAGAAATTGATACGAAAACTGTTTAGTTATCATACCAGCTATTTTAAAAGTTATCTGTAATATTTGTTTAGGGCTTTAAAAATCGTCTTAGGGATTTTTTTAGTGTAGGTCAAGGTTACGTAATTTTACATGACTTACCTTTGGTTAAGGACTATTAATAAAAATAATCATAACCGAGTACGGGGTACTTATTTTTGGTTGACATTACCATTCCATACGACGAGAACCTCGTGAAAGCCAAATCAGATAAGAAGACAAAATGTCTGGACCTGGCTCACGAGGTAACCGACATGTGGGGTGGTGTGTCGACCGAAATTATCTCGATAGTTTTTCATGTATATGTATGCGTGTCTTGTTTACCCGTGTTGTTTAATTTGCCTAGAAGGAAAAATATTATATTAAAAACGATGCGAGATTTTCTGTCATCGTAATTCATACCCTATAACCATTCAATCACTTTCTTTTTACATAAATATTTGGTTTTTGTGCAAGTGGCATCTATTTTTATTTTGTTACAGGATTTATTTTCAGAAGCGACAGGATTTTTTTGTATTTTCTATGTGTATCTGTCAGCAGGGATATAACCCCTGCACTCTTTGAGGTTATCGCGACAGATCTTGATTAATTCCATAATCATTGTCATATTTCAGAAAATTTGAACAAAATGTTAATGAATTATACTCTCAAACCTTCCTAATCAATCGCACGGCCCATTGGTGAAAGCAGTTTAAAAAACAGTTTAAGACTTCTTGAGTTTATCGCGTTCTGAGAGACAGGCAGATGTGGCAGACTTTGTTTTATAATATGTAGAGACATCTCTACATATTATATAATAAAGTCATTCCGCTTTCTGTCTGTCCCTATGTATGCTTAGATCTTTAAAACAACGCAACGGATCTTATTGCGGTCTTTTTTACTACATAGAGTGATTCAAGAGAAAGGTGTATATGTATAATACATTGCACCTGTGCGACGCCGGAGCGGGTTACAAGTATGTTTTAAAATTCATAATCACATTTTATGTTACAAATGGTCAAGATCACTCACAATACTGGTCGCGGGGAGCACGCGTGGGGTGCGGTACGAGACCAGGGGACGACGTATGGGACGTTTTCAGCCTCGTTCCGCCCTGATTAAAATTACAATATTCAGTGCGGCACGAGGCCTAAGACATCCGGTACCAAGGTATACCACCGAGACCGAGACCATTAGCACATCTATAAAAGTAAAAAAGTAACAGCCTATACATGTCCCACCGCTGGGCAAAGGCCTCCTCTATATAGAGGGTATCAGGGCATAGTCCACCACGCGGCCCCACTGCGGATTGGCGGACTTCACATGTTTTCGAAATATATTTTTTGTTATTATTTCGAAAATATGCAGGTATCCTCACGATGTTTCCCTTCACCGCGGAGGACGTGATAAGTCAGCACTTAAAGTTAAAAACTTCATTGGTGCCGGCACCGGGGATCGAACTCAGGTTGCTCGAGTATATTGAATTAAAGGCGAGCGCCCGGACACTGAGCTATCACGGCTCTAGCACATCTATACACACAGATAAATAAAATTGGAGTATCTGTTTCTAATATTAAAATAACCGCTTTTTACTAAATGCATATGGATGTATACACTGTACATATACCAAAATAACATTTTTACAATTTTTGTCTGTCTGTCTTTCTGACTGTTTGTTCCGGCTAATCTCTGAAACGGCTGGACCGATTTGGACGGGACTATCACTGACAGATAGCTGATGTAATAAGGAGTAACTTCGGCTACTTTATTTTAGATTTTTTTAAAAAAATTCGAGAACAAGTACTTCCAGAACTAAGTCACGGGCACAGCTAGTCTTAAATATATATTTATCTCTTTTCTACACTGGACCATACGGAAGTTATGCCCGTCGGATGACAGAGAAGTTCACCTTTTTCCTCGCCGCACCACAGGGAAGTTGCATGAAGGATGATTTAGGCCTCGTTACGCAGTGAACATGTTGAGCCTTTATACATAAATTTTATTGAACTTTATCAGTTAGTTTTATTAGGTACTGTATTTACTTATGTTGTATTTTTTATCTTTAATATACCTTTTTCATTCACTACCCAATCTACACATATTTACTATAGGCAGAATGGCGATAAAACTCAAGGCGTATCAGGAAAAGTAGATATTAAATCCTTGAATACGTCGAAACAAGTATACCAGCCCAAAAAATTACCGTTTCCATCAATTGCTTTTCCATATAGCATTACATACGCAGGTCTAAGGTGATGAAAATAAAAAAAACAAATTTAAGTGATTTTTTTTATTTCGCAGAGAAAAAGTAAGACGACCTATGAAAAAACAATGTTAAATTACAACGCGACGTCATCAATTATTAACCGCTATAGGCGACATTAGCTAAGGCTGATATCAATTCGAAGCTTCTTGTCGTGTTCGTGCAAGCATTGCATAACGTGATTCCTGTCACAGGGGCCGTCTTTATTCATGTACAACGAAGAATTCCCGCTCCGAGCGCAGTCCAGCATGCACGGGTTGTGGTAAGTGTTGTCGTCGCTTCCGCAAACGGGTTGGGCCTTGCGAGGGCAACTGCAGGAGGTCGCCTCTTGCCTAATATCGAAAGGGGGTCGAGCGAACTCTTCGTCGGCGGGGTCGGCGGTTGGTGGCTCGCAAGGGCCCTCGCTGGCCACAGTGAGGTCCGGGTTATGAGATCGCGCGCACTGCAGGAAGCACGCGCTCCCGTAGGTCTGCCCGTCGGAGCCGCAGACCGGATTCGGATGCCGGGGGCAAACACATGGAGACCTGGCTACCACCGCGCCACAGCACATCGCGGCAAGCGCCAGACCTGGGATGGGACACGGCTTCAATTGTTCCACTACTTGTCATCTGTCGCATTCATGTCATTATGATTATTATATGAAATATAATAATCATAATAATCATGTATTCATAATAATATAATGTAAAGCGGAACAATTTTGAAACGTCGCGCAGTATGGACATGCGTCATCTATATCATTGATGCATATACATATTTCTTTTTCTAATATTGCTGTCAAAGTCACACATCATTCGACAGGTAAAATTTTAACTGACTAATGACAATTGCCTCTGTAATAAAAATTTATGTATGCAAATTATGTATATAAAAAATTATAGTACAAAAACCTTAATCACCTAACCTGTTTCATAATAAAAACCTGTTTCATATAGTTTCAAAAAGGCACAGGTGTAATTTCTAAGGGCTTAAACAATCCATGAATGTATGTTATAAAGGTTTTCCAAAAACGAATATAGATTTGAGAAAGAAGAAATCTTATAAATGAAATTTCTTTTATAAGATTTCTACGATGTAAAACAATACGCCTGAACTGCTTACCATATTTAAACAGCATCTGGAAGGCGTAATATAATAAAAATCAAGTTACAATACAGAGAAAATGTGTGGCTTCAAAGCGTCTGAAACCGCAAACGAAATTATTACAAATCTGCCCAGTTACACATCAGACACATTATTTAAAAGTAGTCTATTATCTGTGGCATTGGCTGTTAAAAGAACATAAAATCCAAAATGAGGGTCGGTCATCCGTAAACTAATATTAAAGGTCATTACTTAGCTTCTTGTTACATTTTATTTCTTAAGGAGTATCTGTTATTATCTATGTATAAATAAATAAAACAAAACATTATATTTCCTTTTATCATCTGCTTGTCACCTGGTTGAACAAGTTCCTGGTTGAAAAAATAAAAAACAAAGAAATATTTTTAAACATAAAATGAATAAACAAATAAATATTTTCGGACACATTTTTAAACAACGTTCTCTATTACCAAACTAAGCAACGCTTGTAATATGGGTACTAGAAACCTGATAAACATACTTTTCATTTGTAAATAAATAAATATTATACATTAAATAAACACCCAGACACAGGAACAACACTATGTTCATCACAAAATATTTTTTCAGTAGTGAGGATCGAACCCACAGTGAAATAAATTAACGGTTACTTTCGTCACACGATAGGAAAAAACCTTCTGTACAGAGTTAATATACATATTACCTACCATTTTGTCGAGGTGTTTATAACTATTAGATTACAATTATAAAGAAGATAACACGAGAAATAACAACAGGAAAACGCAGCATTGTCTTCCTGAATATAAGTATAGATAAGAAAAAAGATCAAAAATATGCCATCAAACTCACATCTTAGAAAAATTTTGACCAATATTGGGGACAATGTTTTAAAAAAATAATAATTTGACAAATTTTGTTTATATAATCTTGGTAATGGAGAATATTGAAAAACTAGCGTTGGTTATAAAACAATTTTATAATAATTTCTCAATTAACTATCATAAATAACTTAATTTTTGTGCTTGTAGTACTTGAGATTAAAATTGAATATGAATTTTTTGTAGTAGTAAAATGGCACAAAATCTCGGGTGCTACGGGATTCGAACCTGCGTCTACCGAGTAAGGCAGCTAGAGGCCTTAAACCCTTAGTTCATTTATTATTATAACAAAGTAATTATTAAAATTTATTCCACAATAACAGTCCTTGAAAAACTAATAAATTATCGTAACTAATAGGTATGTATATTTTTACGTGAAGCAAAAAAATTGTATGAACGATCCTGACTGCAGTATGTTTTCTTAAAAGCCCTAAATAAATACGATAGATAAGAAAATGCCGTTAAATAGCGTTACCGTTGTGTGACTGAATAGTTTTCAGATCTCTTCTTCAAAGGCACCAAACGATTTGAACCAAAAAATGTAATTATCTATCTACTATACATCTAAACCTTTTAAATCTTAACGATGCTGTTTAAACTTGGTAAGTCACTTGAGCGAAAGTTTATTCATCTATTCATGTACTCTTTTGTACTCTTTTTTTACTCTCGTTTCTCTTTCTCGGTCTTTATCATATTGTGATAAAGGCCATAGATCGCCTTCTGTTCTGTCCTCCTCATCGATCTGTCTCCATTCCTCTATCTTGTCAGTAGCACCCTAAGGTTGACTGGTAGAAAATGCTGACAGCATTAAGTCCGCCTATGTACTGGGTTTTGTGCATGAAGTATAAAAATAAATAAATAAATATTTAAGTAAACAAACAGATTTGTATCGGAACGCTACATTCAGGACTAACACTTTCCAGGTCTGTTGTTCGCCGCGATCTGTTTGGGCGTAGCGTTCGCCAGGTTGCCGTGCCAGTGCCCCCTAGTTTCTGATCCAGTGTGCGGCTCAAACGGACAGACGTACGGGAGCATGTGCTTCCTGGACTGCGCACGCTTACGCGAACCGAACGTGACGCTGGCCAGCGTGGGGCCCTGCGAGATCAACAGCGGCGGAGTTGCCCCAAGGCCCGGGCCTAGGGCGGCTCGACATTAGGGGCGGCCAATCGTGAAAACAATTCTCTGATCACAACGAGAGATACTGATGTCCGGTTTCTGAATCACTGATCATCGTAGAAGTCAACTAATCAGCTGTCAAATGTATGATCTTCTTAATGACCAGAATGATCAATTCAGAGAGTTTAACAATCCTTTTGGCAACTCAAATAACATTTGAAAATCCATTTGACAGCTTATTAGTTGACTTCTACGATGACCAGAATTTCAGAAACCGGGCGTAAGTATTTAAATATTCTGAAGGATCGCGCACGTTATGACGTATCATATAACAATAATCTTCCTGAATTACTTTTGTACATTTTATGGACAAAATATAGAGATTCTACATAATTATGTAGAGTTGTAAAGCAAAGATGGCTTCTAAAAAGCTTGGTATGCTTAATAGAGCGAGATATTATCGCCGGTCTATAGCTTGCAGCTTTATAAAGCACGAGCATATAAAAGCTATAATCACGACTGGAATAGCAAGTGGAGAAAATATAACTCCCCGTATTTCGAGACTTAAGACCGATTCCCCATTTTAAAACAGTGTAATTTCTCCTGAACGCAGCATTATCAATAACAATAAGCCAAGATCAAGAACTGACGCTTAAAGTTGAAACTTTACATTTCGAAAAAACTCCTTTTCCCCTGGATAGCTATATGTGGCGTGCTCACGAGTATCAAACAAATCTTTGTTTTTTAGCATAGCATGAAAAACAAAAAACGTAATGTATAAAAATAAATGATTTTTGCAGTAAACCAGTTTGTATGTGTTATTTAAAATAGGCATCCTAAAAAAACTCTGGTCATAGTAACTATTACTAACTAGTACGGACAAGGGCAAAAGCAGGTAATATTACGCTGACATGTAATCTTTTTAAAGTGAAACTTCTAATGCGACTTCCAACAGGGTTGCGTTAACGTTTAACGCTACCGCGGAGGGGGTATGAAAGCACTGTTGCGTTAAACGTTCAACGCTCCTGGGGAGGGGGAATAGAAAGAGACAGAGCGAGAGTGAATGCGTGGCACTCGAGGTTTCACTTCTTCCGCGCGGAGGGACTCCATGTTATTCTTTTTTCAATTAAAGTTAATCTTTGAATAATCAAAATCAAAAATCAAAAATATATTCATTCAAATAGACACTTGCGCGCTCTTATGAATCGTCAAATTTTACATAAAAGATTATGTATATAGGTTCGTAAGGTACCAAATAGTTCGTAAGGTAATAAATACTTTAGGTTCCCTTCCGAGATCATAGCGAGATCGGGCTATAAAATCGGTTTTCAGCCATTTATTTAAATGCAGAAGCTTTTTATTGTGTAGTACTGAAGTCAAATGTAAATGCATGAGATTTTAGCCTGGGGTGGCGGAATACTGCGTGTCCCCGACCGATGCGACAGAGACAGGTGCAACGTGTCAACGACTCTACTCCCCTGATCCAGTGGCAGGAGATTTTTCCCACGGAAAAATAAAAAAAAGGACAAAAATTAGTTTCAGTTATATAGGCAATAATGATAAATGTTTATGTATAATAAAAAATATAGAATACAAAGCAATACATATACCTAAATAACTTGACTGTCACGCAATGTTCAGAAGTTATGATTTTCTGTAAATAAAGAACTGACCGTTAACAGTAAATAGTAGTAACAAAACAATAGAAAACTGTTAATTTTTCCTTCTCAAATGTATGGCTAAATTGGTATTATCTGAAACAACGAGAAAACGCTTCGATATTGAAATATCAAAGGTCATTGCAGAGCGAGAGGTTAAAGTTTTAGACTATACCTCTCTCCGTCGGGAAAGGGCTTTAAATCAATAATAGTCTAAACTGTTCTAGAATTGAGATCTGTATTTCATTGGGGGTGTAACTCAGTGGTAGAGTGTTTGCTTCGCATGCTGAAAGTCCTGGGTTCGAGTCCCGGCACCTCCATACTATTTTTTGCTTTTCAAATATTTAAACGGATGGTTCATTTGTTTTCAATTTCAGGGTTTTAAGAATTGCGACTATAATACTAACTACGACTATAAGACTATAAAACTTATAGAAATTTATTACTAAACTGCCATGAACTAAACTACTAATGAAAATTGTTTGTAAATAATCTAAGATATTCCATTAAATATTATCTAGTGTACTATCCTCGAGGCTTACAAATGGTTCAAACATTAATTTAATGTAGTTTTTCAGGATTATTCAGCGGGGTACACTCCGAATACATTCTTCATTTTTAATAAACGACATCTGTCCCGAACCGGCTACAACAACGTGACAGGGCTTTCAGTAAAGCTTGACGCGTAGTGGCTTTAGCGAATAAAACACGTTCCAATGTAAACACGTGTATCTCACTGGTTAATTAACGATGAAGTTTCACTTCTATCGCTAAGGAACAACAGTAGAGAGGAACTGAACAATAATGAGCTAAAATATATTCAAAAGTATGTGAAAGGAAAAACATTAAACACATATTCGTCACTTTGAGAAGAAAATGAAGCCACAAATTTACTACCGTTTAAATACAGATATACGCAGACTTCTTTTTGGTTTTAGTAACAAATTAGAAATAAAAAAACTGTCGACGCTAATACGCGCTGATAATTTGTGATATGTATTTGTTACATGCTGTCTGTGCTTTTAGTCTCTTAGTGTATTATATACTTTACAGACTATAAAAATGTTAGGTTATCGTCATCATTATTAAGAGCCGTGATAGCTCAGTGTCCGGGCGCTCGGCGTTAATTCGTTATTCGAGCGACCTGAGTTCGATCCCCGTTGCCGGCACCAATGAAGTTTTTAACTTTCTATCTCTGTATAGAGGAGGCCGTTGCCCAGCAGTCGGAAATGTATAGGCTGTTACTTTACTTTCTTTACATCATCATCACATCAGCCGTAGGACGTCCATTGCTGAACATATTCCTCCCCCATTGACTTCCACTTCGACCGGTCGTTAGCGGCCTGCATCCAAAGCATCCCTGCGGTCTTTACCATGTCGTCCGTCCACCTTGTGGGAGACCTAAATCTTAGAAGTTTTGCAAAACTTCAGTACTTGCACAGACTAAATATTACAATTACGTACAACATGTGGGCCATTAAGTTTTTCACCGCTGCCTTCACTTCTTTTGAATATAAAATTTTAATATCTCCGTTTAACGATTTTTATATTTATAAAGGTGAGATTTAATTGTGGTAGGGCCACGCAACAGTTTGCTGTTGCACGAATGGGCAGCACAGCCACCTCACAGCAGACCAGCGTGAAGTGTTATACGATAAGGGTGTAGGAAAGGGTGAAGAATGTCTACAAATTCTTTAAATAAACAAGTAAATATTTCAGGATATATTTAAACAAAGTTATCTAGGCCTACACTAAGCAAAGCTTGTACTATGTCTACTAGGTAAGGGATAAACATACTTTTATTTTTGTAAATGAATAATTATACAATTTTAAAATATGTAGAAAAAGTGCGAAAAGATTGTCGCCGCTGTGGGAATCGAACCCACGTCTATTATATTTTAATGTTCAATCTTAAGTGCAAAGATTAGCACTATAAACAATTTAAATTTCTAAATTATACAATTTTATAATTTTACAATTAAATACATTTTACAATTACATGAATACCCGTGTTCTATAAAAACACAATTAAAACACTACCCACTACGCCAATTAGTTTCCCGCAAAACGACCGTTTATGAGACTATACTGTTTGTATGAAGTGATTTATTACTGTGTGAAGACCGGTGTGAAGTAGAAGTGTTACACTTCTGCGTTTCTCGGTGAGTGATGTAGCCGAGGCCGACTTTATTCAAAGGTGGCAACGCATCTGCAACCCTATGGGTGTTGCAAATGTCCACGGGCGTCGGGTATCGCATAACATCAGGTGAACCGGCAATTTGTTTGCCACTTTCTCACATGACAAAAAATACGTCTCTAGAATTAGCGTAACTAGCGTTTGAAGAAGGCTTCCCGCTACAAGCACAATCGAGCGTGCAGGAGTTAGCATGCTTAGGACGCCAAAGAGCTGTCGGTGCGCACCCTGGCCACTTGGGTGGTATCTTCGGTACCAAGGAGATGGGCTGTGGTCGGATCTGAGGTAGTGGTGGGCTCGCAGGGCCCCCTGCTGGCCAGCGTCACGTTAGGATTGCGTAGGCCCGCGCACATCAGGAAGCACATGTTCGTGTATGTCTGTCCGTTGGAGCCGCACACCGGACGACCAGCTAGCGGACATCGGCAGGGCGGCATGGCGAACGCTACGCACAAACAGATCGCGGCGAAGGACAGACCTGGAAAACGTTAGTCTTTAAGGCGCTGTATGCAGTGAATTTTTAACTATTTGGGTGGAGAAGCAGGGGAAGGGAAGGACGGCTAGCCCTGCTTACCGGCGCACCGCGTGATCTTCATTCATGACCGATTAGTTTTGGGCCATAGAATACCATTGATAGTATGGTGAGAGGTATTCGAAATTGCACACAGATGATCCCTATATCTTTTATAGACTATGATTTTTTATGAATAATAAACAAATAAATATAAAGTATGAGAAAGCAATCAACAATTTAAGAAAATCTTCTTCCTGTTAATTATCTTTTTTTTTTTAATTAACAGGAAAAGGGGTCAAAAATCCCTCTGAAAACCCATTTTTACTTCATACAGCGCCTTAATGGAGAGCACCAATATTAATCATTTTCTTCACTTATCTATGGCCTTTTCACACCATGAAGATCTTATAAATATTTATAGAATAAAAGATGATTGAACTCCTAATTTGATTAAACTAACTTAAGGGAAATCACTTACCAAATTTAATCAGCATCGTTATTAATCAAAAGATGTATCTAAAATAGATGGATAATTAAATGTTTTGGTTCAAAACGTTCGGTGTCTTTAACTGTTCAGTCACGCATATGCCACGCTATTTAAAGGCATTTTGTTATCTGTCGTATTTATTTAGGGCTTATAAGAAAACATACCTCAGGATCGTTCATACATTTTTTTCCCTCATGTCTAAATGTGTTAGTTACGTTAATAAAATTATTAACATTCCGAGGACTGTCATTGCGAATGAAAATAATTACCTTTCTATAATAATAAGTAAGGTAAGGTTTTAAAGCGTCTGTCATATCCGGTAGACGCCGATTCGAATCCCGCAGCACCGAATTTATTTTTACCATTTTCAACCGACTTCAAAAAAGCAAGTTCTCAATTCGACTGATTTTTTTTTATGTTTCTTACCTGAGAACTTTCGACTGATTTTGATGATTCTTTTTTTATTAAAACATGTAGAAAAAGTACGAAAAGATTGTTGCCGCTGTGGGAATCAAACCCACGTCTTCGGCATTCGCGGCCTGACGCTCTAGCCACTGAGCTAAACGGCTGATAGCCACAGTGAGGAAAATCTTAACGCCTTCTTTCTACATTGTTATTTAGCATTTGAGGCAATGCTTGGCGCATCTATTGTTATATCCTTTCCAGCATACAAACAATTTCGAATATCGAATTACAACGATAATTCGAACGAAAGATGTCGCCATTGCTTTTTATAAATTTTAAAGTTTTTTATAGTGCTAATCTCTGCATTTAAGATTGAACATTAAAACGTGTAGAAAAAGTACGAAAAGATTGTCGCCGCTGGTGCTTCCCATGTGGTCCCATATAATTTCATTGCTATTGGGTCTTTGTTTTGTTTTTCGTTAATAAAAAAATGGACTTGTATCTAAAAAAATAAAATGTTTCTCTAAGATGGTTGCAAATACAAATATCAAGCTGCGGACTATTATAACTTACAGATTACTCTTATCGGAACTACAGGGACTAGAGACTGCCCAAACCCCCAAACTTGTTTACCCCTCGTTGGTAAGTCTCACAATTTCAACGATTTTCAACCTTGGAGGTTAAAATACTTCGACATTATCAAGAGTATTACTAGGAAATTTGTCGTTAATTAATCCAAGGTTACCAGGGGAGTAAACTACCATAGTACTGCAGTCTGAAGTTGTGTCTGTCTGTAAGGCTGTGATTGTTCCCCGCCCTCAATGCAATAAACCCAGCTCAGTCGCAACTACATGAGGCAAACATTAAAAGTCCTCGATAGCCTTTCCAATCCACGGCTTAAAAAAAAAGACAGTAAACTTGAAAACGAGACAGAAAATAACCTACCAAAATCAGACGGAAAATCTATTCACAATAAGTCTTAGATAATTACAAATGAACTTGATGTCTTACATTATCTTTTCGTCGTACAAGGCTGGTACTAACAAACCAACTGTATTATGTACTTTGATGTAAACAAAATTTTCGTCGCGGAATATAGACCTTTTAATATTTGGCCATGTAACAATATATTCGTCTTTCTGGCGGAATGTTACGCCTTCAGCCTATTCTACGGTATAAAAAAATGTATATAAATTATAGGCTATGTTTTATTCTGATGTATAACGCGTTTGCTGCGGTAGTAACTTTTCAATACTTTCCATTCCTTCGGTACAAGGCTTATACACCTGGTGATAAAACCATTGTGGCGGCGCAAGACTTATAGACACTGTAAAATTTAAGAATCCTGTTTTTGGCTTCATGTAAAAATATATGTGTTTTTTTTTTGGTTTGAATATTAATAATAATGAATTACTTGACATACACCTGAAGCCGTTCGTGAACAACTTAAACAAGTTGTCCACGATTGTTTCAAAATTATAGCTATATTTAAAATACATGGCTAAATCACCCTGTGAGGGAAGTCTGGTGCGTATTTTAAGGATGTGAAACAAAAATATCGATACCTGTAATTAAGTTTTAGTATAATGGAAAAAAATCAAACTTGAATTAATGTTTTTCAATAAAACATCGGTAGCAAAAGTTTTTTTTTTTGCACTGAACACATTTAGTTAATTATTTTTTTTACTTTGAGTAGTTCGCAATGTTCAAATTGTTTGAATTATTTTTAATTTTAAAATCCTGCTATAAGTAAACCGACTGCGTATACATGAAATAGGACACAGAATGGCAAATCTCTTACAAATGGTGTTGGGGTATAGACTATAGCCAACAACGTAATCAACTACTACTATAAATTTTCAGAACTTTTTTTTGTACCAATAATATATGATGAATTATCTTTTTTTTTAAAACATTGCCCTTACTTTAGGATTACCTTATCTTGTGTTGTAAGGACATTTTACAAACATAAATTTCACGCGGACGAACACCCAGATGCGAAACAACTATCTGTGGGCCACACAAATAGTTGTCCCGTGTGGGAATCGAACCCACGACCCCCGACGCCGAAGCCAATACCTTGGCAACAACGCCACGGAGTCATCACTAAAGGAATGCAATTCAATTCAATCACGTATTTTCTATCTAAATACATTACATAAACAGATGTTACAACCAAGAAGTGCTTATAAACTTAGATGCCCTTAAATGCACTGCAATTTTTAATGGACGCACACAATAACATATACTGAATAGTGGTAATTTGAGTGAATCAGTGTTAATACGGCGAACTTCTCGTCAACATCTATAAACGTGCTGTGAAGAATACGAACCCAATAACTCCGACCTTCAGGAAACAACGTGCTACGTTTTATTATTTAAACAAACAATACTTAACGATGTCGCGTAGGGTGACTGCATTTGTATTTATTCTTTTTTTTAAACATTACTCTTATTCTAAGATAACATTATCCTGTGTTGTAAGGACGTTTTACAAACATAAATTACACGCGGACAAACACCCAGATGCGAAACAACCGTCTGTGGGTTACACAAATAGTTGTCAAATGTGGGAATCGAACCTACGACCCTCGACGCTGAAGCCAATACCTTGGCAACTGCGCCACGGTGTCATCGCATGGATGGAGGACTTTTGTCTACTAGAAAATATTCTATGACTAAAATTCTTTCTAATTTCGAAAAGAAAAGTAATCTGCTGAGCAAAGGGCTCGTCTGTACAGAGGATCAGGGCATCATTTATTTTATTTTTATTTTACACAATTCCACAGGTCTTTGTTACGTCGTACGTACATCTTATGATCTAAAATGATAGCCAAAATCGGATTCACCTTATTTAAGTAGTATTTTCAATGTTTCACGGACATTTCATCATATTCCACCACGTGGCCCCTCTGCGGATTGGCAGCCTTCACATGTCTTCGAAACTTTTTTGTTATCATGGCGCAAATATGCAGGTTTCCTCGCGATATTTTCCTTCACCGCCAAGCAAGTGATCAGTCAGCACTTATAATTAACAATTTCATTGGTGCCGGCACCGGGATCGAACTCAGGTTGCTCGAGTATATTGAATTAAAGGCGAGCACTTTAAGCTAGCTTTTAATCGCGGCTTGGTATGCTTTGTTCTTTTGAAAATGAAAAACATAATGTATGATATAACATAAACGACGATAAATTCCTAACAAATTAGATTCGAACATGTCGTATAAAATGGATGTTGTGACGAGCAATAATGAATTTGCAAAACGAAAGAAAATTTCACAAGTGTCATTCAAGTATGGTCACTGCGTGCGCTTGGTCTGGGTTCCATGTTTAATTAATGGTTGCACTGGCCGTGGCATGAATCAACATCGTAGACATACATGTCTTATTTTAAGTGTTAAAAATATTTACTTATCACAAAGGGTTATTTCTCGTCCTTAAAAACGAGCGAGCTAAATATAGTTATTATTTCATTTAAGTTATTGCGTATTCGGTTGGATATGGGCAGAATGCAGAAATGAACAAAGACTGATGAGTTAAGCATTTAAAAAGATTTTTACGTATTCCTACATATTAAACTGTATCCTACAACATTAAACCAGCGCATAAATCTAACTCTCGATTATTCCAGAAACGGCCCAAATGATGAATAGACTTCGTATTTAGACTACCTTTTACTTTTTGTCTGATGGCGCTGTATGCTTATGCGAATACGAGTAAGATTTCCGAAAAAAAACATGACATAATAAAAACGCTGACGAGCCTCGGTTACTCGTTTTCAGCTTTATTGTAAAATTAGCACAGTAAACATGAACAACAGTTTGCCATGCGGTGATATCACAGGAAAGACAGTTTCGGTGGCGACGAAAATATAATGCATTAATACTTAACAATTGCATGATTATGTCAACTGCGTATTCCCTTTACCTTAAGGGTTTTACTGCTATTATGCTTTATACTCTGTCGTGTATTATACATTTCTTTGAATGGCACTCGATGTCAAAAAGTAGACTCGCTACGTGGCTTGTAATAAAAAAGAAATGGTTTTAAATTAAAAAACTCAAAATATCTTTTGTAATTTGTAATTGTAATTGCTTCTACATTTATGAATTGTGAATCTAAACAATTCTCTAATCAACCTGAAGACATACAAAAAAATTCATTAAAATCGGTCCAGCCATTAAGGAGGAGTTCAGTGTAAATACATACGTTCAGAATATATACAGAAGATAAGTGATAAGATCAATAGAGTCAATAGTGTGAAGTCTCGTTTCAGTGACCTCCAGTACTCAAAATCGTCTTTCACAAGTTAGTCGCATTAATGAAATAATAATTATGATAATTACACAATAAGCAACATGATATAAATACAGATGAAAATATTGTAGAGGCAACAGGAGAAACTCTACAACGATGTATTAAACTGGCACAGGACAGAAGCAAACGGAGACAGTTTATATGTGGTCACGATCCTCATCAGTGAGGGATCCTTAAAGAAGAAATATGTATGTGGTATAAATATTTTTTTTTGTGTGAGAACGTGGCAAGCGTGATGACGGTTCACCTGATGCTAATGACGCACGCGAATGGTATCCCGATCAT